CAAATGTAATGTGAATAGAAGTTGTGCTAAAAGTATTGTACAATTTTCATTCATCACTGAAAAGAAGAAATGGAGAGTAAGGTTTCATGAGAATGACCACTAATATTGGGAATAAGGTTAATGATGATGATGAGAGTGACAATATGAGTTTGATTGATATTTCACTTTGATTTAAAGTATTAAGGCTTGAGTGAGTTTCTTTGGCATCCTCATACCTATCTCCTTGCGAGGAAATGTAGAATTGAGATGAAGGTTTCAGTTGACTTTGTTGTTTTTTGGGGCATTTACATATCTGCCACCAAATTTCTATGTACTTATTTAATGTCACACCCCGGGCCCAAAAGACAACACAACCCGACAATGCAGGGCATGATGAAATGAATTATTTTTTTTTTTGTATTTTTATAAGAAAGATTGTATGCAATTAAAAATATGAATAAACTAAGAAATGTAAATTTTATTTATACTGAATAGTCTACTGATACAACTTATATGAAAACGGAAAACTAACTCAATCAACATTGAAATTATAACAAGAAACGATTATCTAAACCCAAAAAGGAAAATACAATAGCTAGAACAAATACTTAAAATAATAACAAGACAGAAAATCTAAAATTGAAAAGTTTGCTTTGGTGGAGACGGTTCTACTGGTGGTTGAATAGAACCTGTTATGCAAAATGTCAGTGAGTGAGTTTGACGGACATATTCTGTAAATAACAACTATTTATTAAAGCGTAAACGACAAGAGAAATAGAACATGCAGTATGAACAATAAATAAAGATGATTATTACGTGCATATATAACATTATAAAATTACAAGAGAGTAATAAACATCAAATATGTTTATTTATCATAAGAAAACAGGCAATTGCTTCCAATTAAGTTTATTATTCTTCATTTGTAAATTATTATTTATATATTTGATTTTAACAAACACTCTAAAATCGGTAAGGTAATACCAACTCAAAAAAATCTGACGATTTTCTGTAGATTATTCACTCTATGGGCTCGTCGGTCTGGCTTGCCAATATCCAAAAGGATTTCACCGATCTACATACTGTCACACACAAGCATACCAAACTTTCCACAAGTGTAATATATTAGAAATGTCCTACTTCCCACAGGCTTGTGATATGATATGAATTCACATGTAATTTCATAAAAGTAAAGTGCAAGGAAAGACGAACATCATAATTGCAGGATTATTTAAATATATGGAAAATTCGTAGAAATAAATAATGACAGTCATTTCATCATGAGCAATAACTGAGGCCTATAACAAATGCAAAATTATAATTAAAGTAGTTTGGGCATGGCTTACAATTCTATAAAATAATTATGAATCTACTACAAATAACAATGATTAACACTTCTAGTTAGGAAGAGTTCATTTATCCTCTAATAAAAACAAGTATTGTGGGATGGCAAACACATGCTCTTATGAGTTCGACAATTCAATTAGTGATTCTACGTCATTTAGAAAAATAAAATATAAATAATTATGCAATTAAACTTATTTATTCTATAAAGGTGCAACCTGATCATCATTTATTATTATCATTATTATTGTCATTAAATTGTTATTATATTATTTTTAAAAGTAAGAAATTATGAACCTAATTAATTTTGATTTTAACTATCATTATTAAAATATTTTTTTTTTTTGTTTTATTTTGATAGGGAGAATTGTAATTTCTTGGATAAATTTCTGGGTGATTTACATACATAGCACTTAACTCAATAAACAGTAAAAGTGATATCTTCAAACCCTACAATCTCTTAAATCACGTTTCTCCTCCAGTTTGCCTTTAATCCATGATTTAGCAAATCCTGTTGGAAGATGGTTTTGCAAGATTTATAAAAGCTTAAGTGCGTTAAGGATGGTGGGAAGAAGGGACAAAGATGAGGGTTATCTTCCTCAATAGTTTCTAGTAGAAGTGGACGAAAGGAGGAAGAAGTTTTGGTGGTCGCTGCACGCCTGCAGTTCCACTGTTGCCTTCTCGACTGGCTCTAACCTCGATCGTATCGCACGGGTCCGGTCACAAAGCTGATGGTTTTGGGCAAAATAGAGAGAGAGGGAGGAGGGAGAGGAGTGAGATCGGGAGGAGGTGATGCCCTTAGCTCGATCTTATAGAGTGTTGAGGCGATGGTTCAAACAAATCAAGAAGGAGGCAGGGGGAGAGCAGGAAAAGGAAAAATAGAAAAGGAAAGAATCAAAATTTCGTAAGTCAGCAATATAAGAAGGAAAGAAAAAGATTTCGGTGCTTACATCTAACACCATAACTTTACTTTATACATTTATATTATCCAAGTCTTTCAAATCACATAAAAAATACAACCATTTTAACTTTTAAAAAATGGAATAGACCTTTTCATGCATAGGTAAGATGGAATGTACGTAAAAGTTGAAGTTTAGGTGTTAGATATGCAAATACATATGAATTGAGTTGTATTATGTAAATATTCTTATTTTTTTACCAGTGCTTTACTGATGAATCATGTCAAATTTTGACTTGTTTCTATGGCTTTCCTCCTGGTCATATAAAATATTTTATTTATTCACTTTAAAATCCAGATCATTGTTAGGCAAACTTGAGTGCATTTTTTTTGATACTCCCATCTCTTCATTTATTAATTTTCTAGCCCTAGTCAAATGTTTTTAGGTTTATCTTAGCATTGTTTTTCCACCACGAATGAACACCTTTTATGCTATATTGACCTATATTTTACGAAAAAGCCCTAATATATCAACATAATTATATTCTTTTTCATGACATTAGCTGCAAACTTAATGGTTCAATTAAAATAAAAGATTATTAGAACTTCATTATTTCATTTGGACAATTGGGAACATTGTTGTCTTCCATCTATTACACTTAAGGGAAATTTTATAAGATGGTGGTGAGATCTGCAATGCTTTATGGCGCAAAATGTTGGCTTTCAAAAGAAAATCGTTAAACAATATTAGGGGTTGTTGAGATGAGAATGCTTAGGTGGATGAGTGGCTTGATACTTAGAGACAAAATGCGAAATGGATCTATCCGTGAAAGGGTTTGTGTAGACAAGATTAGAGAGAATCGTCTTAGATAGTTTGGTCACATTAAACTTTGACCATCTAATGATTCGGTTAGGTGAGTAGATGTTTTTTATTTGACTTATGTTAAGAAATGTAGAGGTAGACCTAAAAGGACTTAGGCACATTGTATCAAAAATAATCTTAATCTGTTAGAATTAAATGAAAATATGAGACTCAATAGGACACAATAAATAAAAACGCTTCATGTGTAGCCTACCCTACTTTGTGGGATAAAGGCTTCTTGTTTTTTTTGTCACTGTTATCTTCCATAAAAAATGTCCAAAACGATTAATCTCGCATTTTAAAAGACATATTTTTATTCATGCTTGTATTGCCTTAAAATTGAGTCGAACATGCATCCTAAAAGGGATAAATTTACTCGCTCCCGCTGTTTAAACTTGTGCAATTTGAATGTGCCTTGAGGCTCTCTTTAGTGCAATATCGAAGAAAATTGATGAGATGTAAGCCTCAAGCAATTCGGGTGAGACGTGTGTCCTAACCATACATACACTTCACATTGGTTGAAGCACGCAATGTGAGTCGTACGCCTCACATGGTTTAGGTATGCCTCGTTTGAATTCCATTGAGGCGTGCCTCTAGCTCTTAGGTTTTCGTCTCCCCAATATTAGATGGTTCAAATACGAACCAAAGCTGTAATCTCACATGCAAGAGCTCCCGTCTCCCCAGTTAAGCTTTCTAATATAGTAGTCTGTTGTTTCTACCACTGCCATTGTCACCCTTGCTGCTTCCATCATCGCTGCCACCATCTCTGTTTGTCATCAATCGCTTGCTTCCATTATGAATCACTTGTTTCTTCTTCCATAGCTACTTGGTTCTTCTTCTGTAGCCATCGTTGTCCGCAACTCCTATTGTTGTTGTCGTTGCCGCCTCGAACTGCTCCTATCACCACCACCAGCTGCTCCTATTGTCACCGTTGTCGCCTGCTGTTCTGATTTTTGATTATTTATTATTTCCTTATTTATATCTATGGATTTTATTACTTTGGTTGGACGATATGAGTGACAGAAGTCTACTATGATGAACTCATTATGTCTTATGTTGATACTTTATGTTCTTTTATTTCATGTTTTATATTTGTTTGTTGACTTAATCGGTTGATGTTTACTTTATATTTATATTTTGTACAAGTTGTTATATGATATTTTGCGACTTAACACAATTTTTTATTTTGATAGAAATGTAATTTGTCACTTACAATGCTTGAATGTTAATTTCTTTAATATATATATATATATATATTATTTTTATCCCTTAATTTTCAAACTGTGAGTCTAACACCTCAAACTACTTTGAAGCTTACGCGTTGCTTCTCAAACGGAAAACCCCTCAACACCCAATTGCGCAATTTCAAACATTGCTCCCGCCTTAAATGTTTTGAGGCTTATCTTAGCCATGTTTTGCCATTATGATTGGACGCCCCTATACTACATAAAATAAAGTAAAACAAGCCCTAAATTGAAACTATTTATATTGTTCACCCTTACATGCTACAAACATTTTGGTTGAAAAATGAAAAAGGGGAATGCCACACAATTCTTATGTATTTACATATCTAACATTTAAAATTTTCTGTTTACATTCACAACACCTTCACAATTCTTATGTATTTGCATGAAAAGTTGTATTTCACTTTAAAAAAGTTAATGATGGTGGTATTTTTGATGTGATGATAAAGATGTGAACGGCATGTATATTAATATTGAACCCTAGTTTTTTTATATGTAAGTATATAAGAATTGTATGGCATGTATGTAAATGCCCCAGTAAAAAAATGCTAATGTTATGTCATCTCATTCATCAAGATTGTTTTCTCTCATCCAAGATATTTAAAAGCATCCATTTTCTGTAATCTTTCCTTAAATTTTCTTGTATGATTGATTCAAAACTTGTGTTTTCCAGGGTGGCTCAGCAAGGTAAAGAGAGGAGGCGGCAATGGGCGCAAAGAAAAATTCAGTCTAAATCAGACAAGGAGAGTGTACCAGTAGCAGAAATGGAAGCCCCACCTATTCCTGAAATGCTTCCGAGTAATATAGTTGATCTCCTCGTAGCCCGTGAAAAGTAAAGTTCTCTTTATTCCTTCTCTGATAATTGAACTTCTCATGTTACTATTTAAGGGCGTTTACATACATACCACCCAACTCCAATTTATTTACATATCTAGCACCTAAACTTCAATTTCTATATACATGACAATTACTTTTTAAAAGTTAAAATGGTGGTTTTTTCTATGTGATATGAACGATTTGAGAGTTTTTATGTAGATGGGAATTGAGTTGTATTTTTGTAAATCTTCCTACTTTTATTAATAATTACCGAGTAATTGACATATAGTACTTATATTTACTTTTAGTAATCCTGTAGTATTTGATAATGTTATTGAGGCTTTATGAAATGTATTTCAGAAGGGTCCCTTATTTTCTGATAATCCTTTTTATAAAGTCTTTAGAAATTTACATACATACCACACAATTCTTACGTATTTACATATCTAACACTTAAATTTTGATATTTACACTTAAATTTTGATATTTACACTTATAGCATATTGGTATCGTAAACCTATGCTTGATAAGGTATGTTTTACTTCTACAAAAATAGTGATGCCTGTATTTTTTATGTGATTTTAAATATTTGAGTGGTATGAATGTAAATATGAATGTTTTGGTGTTTAGATATGTTAATACATAAGAATTGTGTGGTATGTAAGTAAATGCCCATAAAATCTTTGATTTTTTCCCCACCTTATTATTTTATGGAATTTTCTTACATACCACATAATTCTTATGTATTTACATATCTAACATCTAAAGCTTTTTTTTTTTAAAATTTCGTATACACATCTTTATGTACTAGGCCTTAAATTCTAGACCTTTTAATTGGAGACCAATCACTTAACTACTAAGCCAAATTGGCTGCACATCTAATATCTAAACATTGAAATTTATTTATATGACACTTAATTCTTTAATATCACTAATAATAGCTTTTCCAAACAGAATACACCTTTCAATGCATATATTATAATGTGATGTGCTTTATGGCATTATATAAGACCTCTTTATCTTGTTTTGTTTATATTTTGATTTAAATTAAAGCATGATTGATTGTCATTGTTATTTAAAAAAAAAATCTAAACTTATTATAGCTGTTTTGAGTGTTTTTAAATAAGATGTATAAAAGTTATACTAATCAAATATATTTAGAAAAATAAAAGTAGAAACGAAAATAAGGACTGAAAATAGAAGTGCTGCCAAAGAAACTCTCAAGTAAATATTAAAGTATAAGTGTCAAATATGTCAATACATAAGACTTGTGGCATGTACATAAATCTCCCTATTATCATTTGTTGATGGGAGCTTGAAGAACTACTAAGAAACACCCCATCACCCTTCCCATTTTTCGTTGCCCCAAAATTTGAATTATTATTATTTTTCAAATCTCCTCACCATCATCACTACATTTCATCATATAATCTTCCTCTATTTTTGCAGGCAAACCTTCCCTTCTGACTCCGAGGAAGAAGCGGCGGTGAATCATAAACCCACTAAATCGAAGAAAAAACGCAAATCCTCTGGGTATATCTATAATTTTTCAATTATAATTTTTGTCATGGGTATACTCTTAAATTTGAAATCTAAATTGCAACCAATACTCTCCCAGGCCTGAAACCGTTCTCCTGGAGAAAATACCTCCCGCCCAGTGCTTGGCGAACTCCATGGATTTCCTCAAGAGGAGAAAAATGAAGGTTTCCAGGTCCCATTCTGTGCTAATAAATGCCAGACAGGCTCTGCGTCTCCTATCCACGCCTGGAAATTTACTCGGCAGAGGTTAATTATGTAGCAGTAAGTGAGGGCAGAGTTCATGTGATAGGTACCGCTCAGCTTTATTTCTCTTCTCCCTTTTTGTTTCGACTTAGAAAGCATATAATTTAATGTTTAGGAGAGCATCCATTGCCTTCATTGAGCTGAAGATGGAGCTTTATTTAATGCATGAAGCTTTTTAATGTCTGATCTACAATTATTTCTTTTTTATGAAAGTAGTTTGTGGTTTGTTTGGATTCTGATTCTGGACTTGGAAGATTTTGCATACATACCCATTCAATTCTTATCTATTTTCATATTAACGCCTGGACTTCCAATTTTTTACATGCAATATTTTTTATGTGATATAAATTTTGGGTGGTATTAATGTAAAATAGCAAAGTTTGGTTGTAAAATATGTAAATTCATAGGAATTGGGATGTATGTAAATGCCCCTTGTGATGGTATTTACATGCTTAAGTATGGTTTAATTTATTTGACTAATTAGATGCTAATTATGGTAATTATGTTTAATTACTGTTGAATTTCAATTGTTTATATATTTGTTGCTAAGAGGTTAACTGGTGGTCTGTTGAAAGTGTAATTAAATTTTAATTAAGTGATAATTAATAAACACGCTTCATTAGTAATAAATATGTATTTATTTACCGAAATTAGGGATTAATCATAATCTTAAGTGTCATTAAAGTAATATTTCTTTTGGTCTTGATTATTCATGGAATAATTATTCAATCACTGTTACAATGAACAAGCGATAATAATAATTATGAAATTTAATTAATGTAAATTATTTGACGCTGTTATGATTAAAATTTAAATTAAATTTTACTTTTTGACTGATTAAATATATATAATTCATCAAAATGACAACAACCAAATTGGTTATTATTAAATCGTGATTATAATGGGTAACTTTAGTTAATTCATGTTTAAATACTAATTGATGCGTGCTAGAAAATTCGCGGCGGTAGATTTTACTCATGATAATTGTACTGCCCTTTTTTTAATTATATTTCTATCCTTAATTTTGAAAATAAAAATATTTTAATAAGATTTGTTCACATTTGTTTTTGGAAGACTCAAATTGAAAAATTCAAATTAAAGCAACTTTTATGCAATAAATTTATTTGTTTCATCAAAATTTAAAAATGGATTAAAAAAAAAAATAAAATTTTATGATTCAAATATTTGCGGAGAAAATATTACATATGGTAAATTGAACGTGTAACCAATGGCGTGTATTGCATCATTTTGTTAGATGGATGACATGATGCGATTCACACTATCGTTCGGACGTACAACAGACGGACACCATCGTTCGGACGTACAACAGATAGATTGTAATATTGACTTGTGATTGTGGGTCCCGCCAAAAGTTATGGCTTTTGATGACTTGCACTATTTGTCTTTGAAGGCATTGCTTTACTGACTGTATTTTTATTTTAGTACACCATATATATAGATATATATATA